ATGAACAATTAAAAAACAATATGTATATGTCTCATTTGCATAACTAAACAACATTCGAAAGTGCACTAGGGTCAGGTTATTTGATAAAATAGGTCGAAAGTAAATGTGCGTAGTGTGAGTCTATAATTGCGATCTTCTGAGAACTATCCGTTCTCTCGATGCTGACGGATGAGGATATAGTGCCAGAGCCGGAGGCGAGAACACTGTTCCTCCCCGAGACAATGTAACCGCACAAAATCACAGTTCCCTTAGCAGCTCAACAGAAGATAATAACTAGTTCTATATATCACACAACTTACAACGGAAAATCGTATTGTCAAAACATTGTTCATGTCCATGTAAACATTCTCTCGGTTTATGGTGAATTATTAACAGTTTGGCTAACTAGAAGATCAAAAAGAGTCTATAAAGACATCATCATATAAGAAATTTATAATATCACAACCTATAATGTTATTAGACTGTTCAAACAAATATATATAAACCACAGCGTCAAAAAACCCACAACAGTAGCTTGATATAGGGCACTATCACCGGGAACCCATTGAGAACAAAATATCAGGATCGTCAAACGCCAAAATTTGACCACTCCATTTTGAACAAAAACAACGCCAAAGTTTGGAAACTCCGAAAATCCCAAAGTACTGTTTAAGAAAAGACAGGGGGGAAATATCGAAAACAGTAGAACCTCCGGAGGGGTAAGCGTTTTGGTAACTCATTCGGCATCCGCCATGATAATGAAAATATGTCGGCCCCAACTATAAGACACGGTAAACATAATGTAAACATGATCGCTGCAGTCAGAGTCTATCCTGCGATATTTATTTTGAAGTTAACATGGTTGTATGAAGAACGATTGGATTTGCAACTGCACGCGAGTACTCTTACCAGACAAATCATCTTCGCCCAAGGCCACTCACCGACAGCTAAATTCAGGTTTATCTAAACAATACGAAGGGTGGGTGGGGGGCTTTTGGAAGAGCGTTGCACGTGCACGTTTTATTAGGCTATAAGAAATGAACGTGCTTGTCTGCAAAATCATGAACGATTATTGAGAGAGAAAAAAAATGCCATACCTGTGCTGAAAATCCAGGACAATGCAATCATCATTGTTTAAACATTTTGTTTTAATAGGAACTCAGATTTGTCGAATTTTTTGGTTATCTTGATTTCAACCTAGATATGGAGATTTGATAATTAGTACAGAGATATCAAGTTAGTCTCCAGAAGATTACAGGCTCACAATAACGGCTATGTCAATGAATAAAGGATCGGGTCTAATTATTATGATATATCGTCGATTAACGGTAGAGGTACCGGCGCCTGAAGAGCTATTATTATCTCAGATTTAAAGTGTACAAGGTCAATCAATATTTCAAGGAAGAACATGTCCGGACTCAAAAGGTCTCTAATTGATTGGTGTAGAATCAGATGAACAGGAACTCTAACATCGCTTTGATGTCGTATATTTTACTGTTGGTATGACATAGGACCGCTATCAAGTCCTACTGTACAGCTGATCAATAGTAACCCGGTTCTGATTCAGCCAACTTAATGAAATTCTAAATCGAATTTTGCTTTCCCAAAACGTTTTCCAAATATAGAAGTGTATATCTATGTTCATAAGAGGTCAATGATTTGTAATGATTTATGTATATTGATATCCAATAAAATACTTCACCAGATTTTCCCTTCAGGAGAGATGTTAATATAGTTGTGACATGATGTTCAACAGCAGAATTGTATTGCCTGCCAAGATGAAAGAAATGCGTACTCTGTCTTAGGTCGATGATGGTTAAGAAATCTCTAGAATTTGACAGGAGGCATGACGGGTGCCACATGTGGTGACAGGAAGCATTATGACGGGTACCACATGTGGTGACAGGAGACATCATGACGGATACCACATGCAGTGATAGAAGACATTATGATGAGTGCCACATGTAGTGGTAGGAGACATCATGACGGGTTCCACATTTGATGACAGGAGACATCATGACGGGTACCACATGTAGTGACAGGATACATCATGACGGATACCACATGTAGTGACAGGAGACATCATGACGGATACCACATGTAGTGACAGGATACATCATGATGGATGCCACATGTAGTGATAGGAGACATCATGACGGGTTCCACATTCGGTGACAAGAGGCATCATGACGGGTTCCACATGTAGTGATTGGATACATTATGACGGGTGCCACATGTGGTGACAGGATACATCATGACGGATGCCGCATGTAGTGACAGGATACATCATGACGGATGCCACATGTGGTGACAGGATACATCATGACGGATGCCACATGTAGTGATAGTAGACATCATGACGGGTTCCACATGTGGTGACAGGGTACATTTTGACGGATGCCACATGTAGTGATAGGAGACATCATGACGGATGCCACATATAGTGACAGGAGACATCATGACGGGTTCCAAATTTGGTGACAAGAGGCATCATGACGGGTTACACATGTGGTGACAGGATACATTATGACGGATGCCACATTTAGTGACAGGATACATCATGACGGATGCCACATGTGGTGACAGGATACATCATGACGGATGCCACATGCAGTGATAGTAGACATCATGACGGGTTCCACATGTGGTGACAGGGTACATTTTGACGGATGCTACATGTAGTGATAGGAGACATCATGACGGATGCCACATGTAGTGACACGAGACATCATGACAGGTTCCACATTTGGTGACAAGAGGCATCATGACGGGTTCCACATGTGGTGACAGGATACATTATGACGGGTGCCATGTGAAGTGACAGGAGACATCATGATGGGTACCACATTTGGTGACAGGAGACATCATGACGAGTGCCACATTTGGTGACAAGAGACATCATGACGAGTGCCACATGTGGTGACAGGATACATGATGACGGGTGCCATGTGAAGTGACAGGAGACATCACGACGAGTGCCACATTTGGTGACAATAGGCATCATGACGGGTTCCACTTGCGGCGACAGGATACATCATGACGGGTGCCACATTTGGTGACAGGAGACATCATGACGAGTGCCACATTTGGTGAAATGAAACACTCCCTTTGAACATCTAGTTTTACGAGAGTGACTGTCTGTTTTTATTTGGTTTAGGTGCATTCTAAGTTATTGTTTCTTTTGTTTTTTTAAATTATCATGTTAGCGTTTTAGTTATTAATTTTATCATCTGATTAAGTGTTGTTTTTTGCATGTTGCAGTGTATTTATCATTTTGATATTTATTGTCGCACTGTTCAGCTTCCGGTAGATACTTTAAATAATCTGAGTACTGTGTTCAAGTAAAAGTTGTTTTATAATTCTTGTACACGTCTAATGGCTGTGGTTTATATTTGACTGTTGTCTATTGCACGCTGTAGAATGTCTATTACCTAAAACATATAACCTCATTGTTAGCTTTTGGTAGATAAGTCACGTTACTGAATGCGTTTCTGTATTCTCAAGATTTTTTGCGCAATAAGCATGTTGTTTTTTTTTATTCGTGACGCGTTTCTATTGCATTATTATAAAATCTGCCAAAAATAGGACACGGATACTCTGTATACTGTTTCTACTTTACGAGGTGTCCCGAACAGTCAAACGTGTAGGTCATGGGTGACCGTTTGTGTTAGTGTCTCAATGTGCAACTAGATGCTCCTTTGATGATATTTAAATTATTACGTACTACTATAAATAATGTATTGAATGAAACTTAATAGATATCAATCTTAATTTAAAGGCACTACGATCAATAGTTTTGGTAATTTAATTAGCAGGGTTGAAACACCTCAAATGTAATTTAATAGGCGGGTCTGTATAATGTATACATTTAATACCTAGACATATTATGTTTGCATGAGTGTAAATTGTATTGTGCTGTATATATGTTGTAACTGATAAGTCGGATGACTTAAAGTAACAATAAACTTAAACTCATCGTATTTCAGGTGACCAATTAAAAAAAAAAAAAAATTAAAAAAAAAAAAAAATATACGGGCTTTTATTTCCTTTAAAAGTAATTACGTAACACAACTAGCGACATGAAATTATTTAATTTCATTTGGCGATTTTGATGGAGATAAGATAATTCCGTACCAGGCGTATCGAATGTACCCCCGGCTTCAATGATTCGATCAGTTGGTACTTCACATCAAAGATAATGCAATTTTCAATGTTTATACTGCAATAAAAAATCGATATATTCAAAATAAGCGAACATGATAGTGGTTTATCCAATAAAACAAGATGTTTGTATTGTAATATAACCAAACGTAATGTAAAATTAAAGCTGACATATCGTGAAATCATGAAAATCTCCTATATTTTTTATTATCCGATCGTCTTGACAGAAATTGTGAATGAGTGAATGTATTTAGCATACAGACAAGGTGCGGTTTGTTTTACGTATCCCTATAATACATTAGTTGTGCAGACAATTACAAAAATGTCGGTCGGATAAAAAGTTCTTTCATCAAAACAAAGGAAATGTTAACCACACGCAGAGAACTATTAAAACGTAAAACTGAAAACCTACAATGTTTACAAAGAGGCAATATATATATATATGTAACAGGCCTGTCTGCACACCGGGAACATCGTATGGTTTTAATCGGAATACAAAGCATGCTATTTATATAGCATAAGCATCGTCAACTTGACGCTCCTGTCATTTACGCATCGGTCAGGCATCTCGTTGATTAGAAGAGAGATACTGACACTGATCCATCAGTATACATTATAGCACTTCCAATAACTTGTTGAAAAAATCCTTCCACGTTATGTTCACAGGAAGCACCATTAATTTGCATAGTGCAGAGTCAGAGTGGTGCAGAGTATAAACATATCAGTTTGTCACCTACATACGTCAAGCTAACAAATCTATGTCGGGAGCGGTAAGATAACATCAACTTCGAAGCGAACAATACCGATTTGCTATGATTTTCTGACCGTCGTTGTCTTCAAATAAATGAGTCACATTTAGCTGGTTCTATTCTTCCTTAATTAACTACCATCAATGGAAATCTACCGGCCTGATAGTAAAGGCCAACAATAATGTCATATGTAAATCACGGGCTGAGTATTGTCCGACTCCTCGGGACCGACATATTCTGTGAGAAGCTGTGTGTGTTGTGACCAATAGATAACGGATCAGTAACTCGGTAGGTCTGGTACAATACACCCGGCACTACATTCAGACACTCACCACCGCGGCTCCTATACGAGTCCTTATACCCTCTACGATGTGTCTTATTAGCAGGACATTTTATATCTTAACTTTACCGTGTTCAACGTGACATCATTTGGAAATTCGTTGAATTTGTTACATGCCAACAACTGATTTCAGTCATTCGTGGGGAGGATTATGAAAAATATGTGTCAGTACTAAAGAAACTATCAACACAACAAGTTGACAAGAAGCGCTGTGACTCTTTGATCTTCATTCGCCATTCAACTGTATCGATTTATAATTCGTGTATGAAGAAGGACATTTCGATATATCAAGTGTATACTGTTTGTTTGGCATGGTGTGGATTATAAAGTTATAAGTGTAAGCACGCCAAGTTGACAAGAAGCTCTGTGGCTGATCTTCGTTTTCAATGCAACTGTATCGATTTATAATTCATTTATAAATAAGTTCGTTTCGATATATCATGTTTATTTGACTTAATATGAGTTAACTATTACTAAGTGTAAACATTATTGTTTCGGTAACAATGCAAGCACCACAGAGGACAAGCAGTCTATAATAATAAGATACTGTATACGTAAATTAAGTCTTGCTTTCGATCTGAATTGGCTATTCACACAGACCAGTGCGCGTGGAAAACGAACCGTATGGTGAGGAAACATGTGTTTCATGTCTCAAACTCGTTCTTAATTTATAAACAAATTCATTTCAATCTAATCAACCAAACATTGAAGAAATCACAACGGAATTACGTCAAAACGACAACTGTTTATAGCGGCGTATTTACACAGGAAACCGTTAACGTGTGGTAAGGCGTGGTAATTATCAATTGGAGTATTGAAGTGAAGCTGGTGTGTTTATAATAATACTAAAATAGACTTTCCGTGCGACAGAAAATAAATTCCAAGGCTATACGTATCCCATATATTTCGGTATGTATGAGGTATAGCAGGGATATGTGACGATAAACTGTGGTTGGAGAAACTACATCATCATCTGACACTGAGGCTGACCATGACGTAGGAAGCCGTAGTGGAGCATGACATCTCTTAATGGATATGTGATCCTGTGGGTTTTAATACTGACAATAGGTAAGATATACGTAATAGATATGTGATCCTTCGGGCTGTAATACTTACTATAGGTAAGATATAAGTAATGAATATGTGATCCTGTGGGCTGTAATACTGACCACACGTAAGATATAAGTAATGGATATGTGATCATGTGGGTTTGTTTACTGACAACAGGTAAGATATAAGTAATGGATATGTGATCCCTTGGGCTTTAATACAGACCACAGGTAAGATATAAGTAATGGATATGTGATCCCTTGGGCTTTAATACAGACCACAGGTAATATATAAGTAATGGATATGTGATCCTTTGGGCTTTAATACAGACCATAGTTAAGATATAAGTAATGGATATGTGATCATGTGGGCTGTAATACTGACCACAGGTAAGATATAATTAATGGATATGTGATCCCTTGGGCTGTAATACAGACCATAGTTAAGATATAAGTAATGGATATGTGATCCTGTGGGCTTGTATAATGACCATAGGTAAGATATAAGTAATGGATATGTGATCATTTGGGTTGTAATACTGACCACGGGTAAGATATAAGTAATGGATATGTGATCCTGTGGGCTTGTATAATGACCATAGGTAAGATATAAGTAATGAGTATGTGATCATGTGGGCTGTTATACTGACCACACGTAAGATATAAGTAATGGATATGTGATCATGTGGGTTTGTTTACTGACAACAGGTAAGATGTAAGTCATGGATATGTGATCCCTTGGGCTTTAATACAGACCACAGGTAAGATATAAGTAATGGATATGTGATCCTGTGGGCTTGTATACTGACCATAGTTAAGATATAAGTAATGGATATGTGATCCTGTGGGCTTGTATAATGACCATAGGTAAGATATAAGTAATGGATATGTGATCCTTTGGGCTGTAATACTTACTATAGGTAAGATATAAGTAATGAATATGTGATCCTGTGGGCTGTAATACTGACCACAGGTAAGATATAAGTAATGGATATGTGATCCTGTGGGCTTGTATAATGACCATAGGTAAGATATAAGTAATGGATATGTGATCCTTTGGGCTGTAATACTGACCACATGTGAGATATAAGTAATGGATATGTGATCCTTTGGGCTTTAATACAGACCATAGGTAAGATATAAGTAATTGATATGTGATCCTGTGGGCTTGTATAATGACCATAGGTAAGATATAAGTAATGGATGTGTGATCCTTTGGGCTGTAATACTGACCACAGGTAAGATATAAGTAATGGATATGTGATCCTTTGGGCTTTAATACAGACCCTAGGTAAAATATAAGTAATGGATATGTGATCCTTTGGGCTTTAATACAGACCATAGGTAAACTATAAGTAATGGATATGTGATCCTTTGGGCTGTCATACAGACCATAGGTAAGATATAAGTAATGGATATGTGATCATTTGGGCTGTCATACTTACCCTAGGTAAGACATGGTTGTTACGTCATCAGTTTTTATTAATTATTTTTTATGCGTCATCGACTTTTGTTTCTTGTAAGGATGAACGCAGGACACACATGTGATTACACCTATAACATTTGGTAATAGATACAGATACAGATGTATCGCCCTTCTATGGCTCCTCGGAGATAATAGGGGCCAAAACAGTGGAAATCAAAATTGGTCTTATTTACTTCTGAAACAGAATGTGAGGTGAGAAAAACTCCTTAATTACAATAATATCACAACAGTTAATTTCAAGTATACATGTGTACCTGTCTCTGCAGGTAGGGCGTAAGAATTGTACCTGCTGCCCCCATTGCATGATCGTATAATGCCACTAAATTTGGGATCTTATCTTTTCTCTTCTTTCTAAACAAACTTTCTTCTTCCTAATGTCCCCCTTGACAATGCCTCACTTTTGGCCTTTAGTTGAGCGTTCGCCCCTGTGAGGAAGGCTTTGAGCTCTGTCTCCTGGCCGAGACATACCAGAATCTGTAAAAGTGGTAGTTTCTACTCCTGCTTAACGCTCGGCAATTTAAGAGTGGGACGACTGGTTCGCCCGTTGTCAGTATAATGTGACCGGGTGGGGTATCCTGCTGGGTGTCTTCGGCAGTTTGTTTCAGTGAGGTAGCACTACAAAATCGGAATCAGTTGCGCGCTATCACAAGGAGACAAACACGAACATATCGCAGCCTCCCAAAACACACACGCACGCACTACACTCATGTAAACCAAACATATGTACCTTGTTATAGGTAAGGCAGCAGTTTATTACAAATGTAGGTCATCAGTCATTTATAATAAAGTGAAGACAACAGTTTAATATTCTAATATTGTATATTGTCACCAAAGTTAATCATTACTTTATGGATATCATATTAGCCATGGACAACATAAGTCGGAAGTAATTCATAATATAATAAAATGTAATATAACACAATATAATGTAATATGATATAAACTAGCACTGCAACTTGTACCTTTCTTGGGACCACCTTCCTTTCCATATATACAATGATTAATAATTACAAAATGTAAACAAAACACAAACCTTAGTCCTTGTTATACCACTGTGAATCGCACACATTGCTAATGTCAAAATCGTCCTGGTATGTGACAGAGTCAGTAATTCATTGACGACTCAACCTTTTTGAAATAACGGCAGGAATCCCCATTCGCATCCTTATCGATCACGCCTGTGTGACATGGGCCATTAATACGGTAAGACTGTTGAAGGAGCAATGGCTAAATAAAGAGGGGGTGGGTTTTACAAACTATGTAAGTAATTATAGATAGCGTTGTAGGGACTCTCCCATTTCGTTATTGATGTCTTTTTGCATGTACTAAAGACGTTTCAATACAACTTATTGTTATTTTCGTTCACCATTTTGTCTTACATAATGATGTTCTGATATGTGCTGACAATCCCTTATTCGAACTCAATATTAAGCCAAGATATGGACAAAGGAAAGTTGTGTATGTACAGACTTGAAAATAAACACAAGTATGATACAAGATGTCCCGGAAGGGTAAGCGTCTTCTGCCTCATTGTAGACACCAACCATGTAAATAAAGATCATTTCCAAGTAATCTAGCTGTAAATATTGTACATTTTATCATCCATTGTTTCTTGATAATCATGTAAGATGAGCTTCATGCTCAATATGTTATCAAGAAAAAATAAAGCCTTTATTATTATTATCTCACGTCCTCAAGTGAGACCCATGGTTGTGACAGACCAACTAATGAGCGTAATATAACGTCAATGCTTCATGAATGAAGTGAATAATGTATTAAATGAACCTGGTTAGTGTATCGATATCTATTAATACTTTTCATGTCCAAATTGCATTCAATTGGTCAAATTTGTAATATAAATACGAAAGCCATTTAATCGATTCTGTTACCACACAGTTCCCGTGCGAACTAGCAATAGAAAAGTTTAGCTCCTTGGCGACTTCAAATAAGAACAAGTTACGTGCACAATTTCGAAATCATCTGAGAAGAATTGAACAGGTTATTCATTGTTTATTGGTATGCACTCGTGACTTGTGGCTACGTGTAAATGCTAAAATGAAGGTTGAGACTAAATCTGAAATACGCTCCTTTATTAAAGCACGGTGTGTCGTTAAAACAGATGCATGCAGAGTTGTGCAGAATAAAAGGCAACTCTGACGTCACATTGAGAACTGTTTTAGGTGGGTGAACAAATTCAAGAATGGTAAAGTTGACAGGCCAGATATTGCAGCATCAAAGAAGAACATTGCTGCTGTAAAAGCAATAATAAAGGATGATAGTCGTTATAATGTGTCTGAGATAAGTCATATTGTTGGCATTTCAGAAAGCAGTATATATCACATTCTGACCAAGTGCTTGGAATTAAATAAGCTTGTGCCTGATGAACACCTAATTTGCTGGCATCAGAATAAATGCTAGTCGTTTAAAATGTGCTAAAAGCTATATTAAAAGGCTAATTGCGACTCCAGAAAGCTATCTGATTTCCTTACAGGGGATAGGACATGGGTCTATTCCCTTGAACACCAGAGGTGCAGTAATAACGAGCAATGTGTGTCGACAAATCAAGCAAAGCCAGAATGAATTATTAAAGACGCCAAGAAAGTTTCGCATGCCATTCTTTTTTAATTCTAGTGGGTCTGTTATTTAGATACCTCGAGAGAAAGGGAAAACTATCATTGCCAAGTTTTACAGGGACGAAGTACTGAAGCCTGTCAAAAGATTTCACATGAAAAAGCGTTCAAGTACAGGGTTGAGTGACATTCAGCTAATTCACGACCATGCCTCATCCCACAAAAGCAATATTGTACAGGTGTACAGGCATAGAAGCAAGAGGAAGTATTACAGAATGACCACCCACCCTATACACCAGATCTAAGTCCTTGTGACTTCTTCCTGTTTCCTTCACTCAGGAAAATGCTCTTCGGGAAACGATGCGCCTGTAGGAGTGCTCTGAATAATGCAATCTGCCAGTGTCTCGCCTGTATACGAAGGTGATACTACCGGGCACCGTTTACGTCATAGATAGCGCGATTGCTAAAGCGCATTTTTGCAAAGGGGAATACTTCGAAGATTGCAATAGAAAGGTCAAACTATATACATTATGCATGTGATTCACAAGAGACAGAATTTATAGAATCGCCCTGGTATCTGCCAGAGTGACACTATAAAGTCATAAAAGAATTGTTTTTATTTAATCTGATATCGAATGGTTTGTTTGTGTGAAAACCTATAAGTACAGCAATTAGTTTCTTAACGTTGTAAACAAACATAAATGTTACAAACATTGAATATAGTTTGTATATTTATATATATTATATTTTACACTAGATAGGTATATATCTCCTGTCTAACCTTAAGGCGAATATTGGAAGTCAGATCAATTAAACGAGATTTACTTTAGTTTAGAAGTACACTGCTTTTAGCACTTCCGAAACATGATATACTGGCCTAAAACATAATGCCGACAAACCTACCGACCAGGATGTATTTGATCTGTGCAAACAGACTAATGATCTAATTCAGGAGTTCACATC